CGTCCACAACGTCTGGGCAGAACCAGGTTTCGGTTATACATATAACTTTAGCTTGCGTGTCCAGCGCAAGGGAAGAGATTTCGGACACCTTGTTCCGTAGCGATAAAGCGTTGGTGTACAGGCAGTTCCACGTGTTAACATGAACTGCTGGCGGGCAGTGGCTTGAAGGCTGCCTCTATGTTTCTACGGCATTATGCGATGTTATATTCCGTATATTGGGGATCCGAGTGATTACGTCATACTTTCGGCAAGCGCAATCTCTAGGTGGCCATTGGATTATCATTACTATGCCTCGTCCATTGACTTAGAGCTCAGTTTAGATCGGTTCGTTTGTAGCCCATTGGACATATTAAATTGAGCAATCGGAAAGAGTTCGGCACTTTTATCTAGTTGCCAGCAACCATCTTGTCTATACTGTCTCATCGAGATTATGCTCCGGTCACGAGCCCTGTTTTTTTAATGCTAATATCCGTGACAAACTGAAAGCAAGTGTCTTCAGTGCGCAAATTCCATGTTCAGTACTTTCTCCGTGGCACTGATGATAGTACAACTTTAAACACTGTACTTTAAAATATTATATGGAGGTCTTGTTTTTCTCGAGAACACGTCTCATGTCGCCATCCAGCAATAGCATTTTCTTAGCTATATGCTACGATTTGTTCATTTCGATATACCAAAGTATTGTCACTATATTTTCTGCAGCTGGACTGGATTCTGAGCTGTATTTCACACTAGTGTTTTCGGTCAAACTGGTGCGCTTTAGGAGAGTTTGCTTCTTTGCGCTTTTTTATGCAATATAGCTCGATCTAGTCAATCTCATGAATTAATGAATTGTTTATTTCTCAACTTGACGTGACACCGTCCGGGTTATTTGGCCCGATCCAATTGTACAAAGCGATTGCACAATGGTTGCTTATTCAAGACAAAGCTCGTGTGATCTAAAGTTGGCGAACCACTCGTCATTTAACATGCTCTGTCGGTCCTACGAAAAGCTGTATATCAATCTAATGTTGGTTGGTATTTCTCGAAGATATTGCAACTAGCAGTTTTGTGTTTCAATAACATGCTGGCCTATACTTGGATTGCGGTGTTTTCTGTCATTACTATGGAGTGAAAGTAGCTGAATGGAGTGTAAAACGTCGCAGGCGAGCGCTGTTCAAGCTAGAAGGATTGTTGTTTTCTCTTGTATTAGATGCCATACCCTAGTGTTTTTGTGTGGTAACACGACGCCAACCGGCCAAATGTATTCGTATATTTCCCCAGCTTAATTGCAAGAGTCTCAGGGGAAAGCACAGGTTAGAAAAACAGAACAGTGAACGCGTTAACCGATATACAAGTAAAGAGGACCCCCATGTAGTTGTCAGTTTAATAAACCTGACGTGTCGTAGGTGGGGAAGAAGATTTATGGCTTTATACTTTGAACACACAGTTTCCTCGATTGCTTTCGTGGCACCGCTACGTTGTATGCCTCTTGCTATTTTAGACTGAGTAACCCTGTGTTTTGTCTTTCCGCATCCTTCCTAGTCAAGCCGAATATCCCGGTACTCCGCGCCAAATTTTCCGAAATTACACCTGCGTAAGTCATCAGTTTGATAACCATCAACCGAAACCATTTTTCTATTGCGCTGATGATTTTATATATATATATATATATATCCTGAGCTGGATCTGCTCCCCACTGCCTTGTGGGTCAGGTTATGGAGCCAAAGGCTCCGGGTTTAGTCCCTCAAGCAACCCTCTGAAGCACAACCGCCACCTCGCGTGCGACTACCCACCAATGCAATTGTATGCCTGCGCACAAAGCACTCACCATCGGGTGCTGGAACGTGCGCACACCACTGGACTGGAAATCCAGTGAGCGCCCTGAGAGAGGCACTGCACTGGTCGCGATGGAACTGGCGCGCTACCACATCGATATTTCGGCGTTCAGTGAGACTCTGCTCGCTGAGCAAGGTAAGTTGCATGAAGCAGGTGTTGGTTACACATTCTACTGGGTGGGCAATGCCGCCTCAGCACCCTGTGATCATGGGGTCGGATTTGCAATATCCGATCGCCTCCATGGCCTGCAGGTGGGTGAACCAACAGGCATCAGGGTGCGACTGATGACTGTTCGCCTACAACTCGGAAGACGTAAGTTTGCCACCTTTATAAGTACGTACGGTCCGATCATGTGTTATCCTGATGACACGCGTGATGAATTCTACACTCAACTATCCTCCGTGATACGATCTGTGCCGAGGAGCCACATGCTATTTTCTACTTTGTGATTTCAGCGCTCGCGTTGGGCGTGATGCATCGATGTGGAGAGGTTATCGATCCGCATGGCATTAGTTCAGCGAATGCGAACAGTGGCAGGCTGCTCTCCCTGTGTGCCACTCAAGGCCTGACGATCACGAACACTCGGTTTGCACTGAGTGCGAGTAATATAACAACTTGAGCGCACCCACGGAGTGGTCGCACTCACCTGCTCGACTATGTCAGCGTGATATGCGTGAAGCGAGCATGATACGTGTACAGCGTGGGGCTGAGTGTGGCACTGATCGTAAATTGGTTCGGACCAAACTGTATTTATATTTTCGTAAATCGATGTATTCCACTCGTGTCGTGAATCGGCGTAAATTTAACATACTCACCCTCGGTACCGTGGAGAAACGTATTTAGCTAGAGAAGGCGATTGCTGCACGCCTGTGTGCCATGGACTGCATGGACACGGCGACCTGTGGCACCACATTTGCGATCAGATGATAGCTGCTGCCGAGGAGACTATCGGGCGCGCAAACTGTAAGCGGCCAGATTGGTTTGATGAGAACAATGCAACGATTGGCGCATTGGTGTCGGAGAAGAATGCAGCATTTGCTGCACATGTGGCAGGCCCCAGTGATTAGGGGAAGAAGAGTTAGTTTCGCAGAAATCGACGACGACTGACTCTCGAACTCCGTCGCATTAAAAATGTATGATGGACCGAGAAGGCGAAGCAAATGGAATGTTACGCCAAAAACGCCAACACAAGGAATTCTTTGACTCTTTAAAGGTTGTGTATGGACCGAGATTGGAGCCGCTGAGGATGCTGATTGATGGTAGTTCAGGTGCTACCTGTACACAGATTGCAAATATAATGCAGATCTGGCAAAACACTTTGACTGTCTCTTGAACAACGGTTCAGGGATCGAGTGGCCTACATTGAACGGCTCTAAGCAGTACGATGTGAAGGCGATTTTGGCAGACATTCCGACACTGGATGAGACACAGAGAGCACTTGCTCAGCTGCGAAACGGCAACTGTGGCGGTGCGGACGGGATCCCGACTGAAGTATTAAAACATGACGGACTTGCGTTTTCGACTGCGCTGCACCACTTGGTGCAACGTGTATGGATTGAGGATGAGGTGCCTGCTGAGCTGATGGATGCCCTTGTGCTACCACTGTACAAGGGCAAAGGAAGCAAGCAATGTTGCACGAATTATCGTGGCATCAACTTGCTGGGTTGTGTGGGCAAGGTGATTGCCCGAATCCTGCTCAACCGCCTCGTCAGTCAGGTTGTGGAACCGAACGTGGCGGAAGAGCAGTGTAGATTCCGTTCGGATCGCAGTACCATAGATATGGTGTTTGCGGCTCGTCAGTTGCAAGAGAAGTGTAGAGAACGACACCAGCCGTTGTACTCGCTTTTTGTTGATTTCACCAAGTCATTTGATACGGTAAACCGCGAGGCATTGTGCCTGGTGTTGGGTCTGTTTGGTTGCCCGAGTAAGTCAACTCGTATGTCTGCAGTGATGTGCGAGCGAGGGTGCAACTGAGTGAAGAGACCTCTTATGACTTTGCAGTTGTCTCTGGTGTGAAGCAAGACTGTGTCTTATCTCCTGCCCGGTCTAATATATATCTTCATGCAATGGTATCTTGTGCTTTTGATGCCGCTTGTGCTTACGGTGTTCGTTTGGAGCACGTATTGATGGTGGGTTGCTGAACATCCGTCGTTTCGGTGTGGGAACCCTTGTCTATTGGACAACTATCCGTGTGTTGCTGTTTGCTGACGACTGTGCGTTGTTTGCACACAGCGCGGATGAACTGTAGCACATGACTAGTTCTCTGGCTTCGACAGCGGCCAAATACGGACTCACCATCAACACAAACAAAACTGTCTCTTTCAGCCTTCACCGAAGGTGCAATCTGCAATGATGACGCGAATCAACATTGGTGCTGAAGTATTGGAAACCACCTACCCCTTTGCTACCTTAGGAGTGTGATGTCGACTGTCCAGCAGCTACACGGTGAGCGTTGTATCCGCGTCTCGAAGGTAGCGTTGGCATTCGAGAAGCTAGAGTACCGAGTGTGGAACAACCATCAGTTTAGCGTTAGCACCAAGCTGATGGTGTACAAATCCATGGTGCTGTCCGTTCTTCCATACAGCATCGAAACATGGACGATGTACCGGCGGGATGTGTGGTATCTCGAACGGTTCCATCAACAATTTTTGCGGCGGATTATGCGCATCGGCTAGGGCGACAGTGTTGCGGACACGGAAGTGTTGCGCCGAAGTAGTATGTATGCAGTGGACTGCAGACTTTTGCTGAGACGCACGAGGTGGCTCGGTCTTGTGAGTTGTATGGACTCGACGCGGATACCGAAGCAGCTATTCTATGGTCAGCTGAGTATTGGCGAGCGGCATTTGGGGAATCCGAAGCTTCGTTACCAGGGCATGATCAAAGTGAACCTATGACGCTCCAATCTTGATTACAAGTCATGGGAATGGAAGGTGGTTGATCGTGGTGCATGGCGCAATCTAATCACGAAGGCAGTTGCCGAAGTGTGGGAGAAAGTCCTTATGCATGCGGAGAGGAATCGGCACTTGCGGAAGCGACCGGCGCCGATGGTTTATACTCCATCGACCTCTAGGGCATGGTACTGTAGCCCATGCGGTCGCGAGTGCCTCAGTTAGGCAGGCCTAGTTAGCCATGAGCGAGGCCACCCGGGGCCACCACCGATGCGACGACGGGTCCTGCAGAGAACGTAGGCATAACCGGCGCAACGTTTGTAGGTACGTTGCATTCGATTTGCTAACCGTGTGCTTGCATGCCAAGTCCCTTTCTTTCAGGTGGTGGGTTTTCAATTTCGTCCTAATGATTTTCTTTCTCATCTTATTATGTAACTGTACTATCTATAAACTTGGACACTCTGCTGAAGCTAATTGTACTTAATTTTGATAACATTTTCGCGTTTGTCGCATTTAGTTAAAATATGTTTTTTGAGGTCTTGAACTTTTCGCTGATTTGTTCGTAACCAATTTATTATCTACGCTCATTTAAGAGTTATGTCACCATATGTGTATACGTTATCCGATTTATTTTATTACATCTTATCGTTTCAAGTGTCTGGCTGTCGATTGATATTCTCGGTGTGGCTGCGCTTGATGTGCATGTTGACAAGGTGCCTACCTGTCTATTGCCCCCTACCTCGTCCATACTGGCGAACAGTAGACAGTTGGACGTCACTAGAAAGGACGTGGTGCACGGTCCTTGTGGTTGTGCTAGGCTCGAAGAGTGGTTCCATGCAGTCAATGTGGAGCTCACTACGATCCGGCCACCGCCTTGTGTGCGCTTGATTCCCCAAATACAGCGTGCTTGTGTTTGCATGTGAAGGAGTGTGTGCTGGCTCCGTTGATGAAACGTGGCTTCCATCCACATGCCTCCCGGTCTTATTCCTTCGGGTTTACACTGGATATGGGGTGTGTGTTTGGAGCTGTGGGTGGTGCAGCGCAAGCCACCCATGGTCCCTCTGTAGGCGCAGGCGTCCTGTGGCTGGCCACCTTGACAGGTAAATCCGAAGCCGCTAAGCATGCATATATATATATATATATATATATATATATATATATATATATATATATATATATATATATGGTTTTAATATGTCGAATCTGTTCAGTCAAAGTCTTGGTGAGGCAGAAAATATCAGTCGGATTGGTTTCTAGAGTGCAACTAGTCTATGCCTGTGTTCCGTTTCGCATTAGCTTTTGTACATTGTAAGTGATTACCTTGCTTTGGGAACGGGACGCCTGTGGAGCACATGGTGCAACATGTCGATGCCCCATTGAACCCAAGCTCCTGGTCAGTGAGGCGGGTACTCTTGCCCAGTTTACCGAAATCTGACGCATTACATTTACACGATCAGCCAGGACTCAGTTTTGTACAGCAGTATCGCGCGAACACACGCATTGTAGACCCTACTCTTTACCTAGAGTTCAAAGTCGCGGCGACACTACCTTTCCTTGATGAAAACTGACCGGGCTTTGGCAAGATAGTGAAAAATCTCCCTTCCAATGGTACCATCTGCAGAAACCCAGCTCCCAAGGCAGATAAACTATCTGCATGTTCGAGCTGTGTACCTTAGGAGTCAGCACTGGGGCAAGTGTATGCCAATCCTGGAGTAGGATTTTGCATTTCGTGAGGAAAAAGTTTCATACCATACTTAGTAACTTCAGTAACCAAGCTGTTCTTAAATGAGCTGCACACTCCGTGGGTTGTTACTTAACATGGCCATATCATCAACATAGTCCAAGTTAGTCGCGCAATTGCCTGGAAGGA